ACAGCATGGCACTGGAGTTCAGGTGGGGAGGCTAGCAGTGATTCTTTAGGAAAGGGCAGGCTAGGAGAGATTCTTTAGGAAAGGGCAGGCTAGCAGAGATTCTTTAGGAAAGGGCAGGCTAGCAGAGATTCTTTAGGAAAGGGCAGGCTAGCAGAGATTCTTTAGGAAACGGCAGGCTAGCAGAGATTCTTTAGGAAAGGACAGGTTAGCAGAGACCATTGAGGAAACAAAACCTGGTTTCCAGCTCTTCGACTTCATCGCCAAGGCCCTGGCCGATTTCCTGATCGAAAAAGGCGTCGACCAGGACGGTCTCCCCGTCGGCTTCACCTTCTCCTACCCCTGCAATCAGACGTCACTACGCTCTGCTACGCTATTAAGGTAGGTACAGATTTAAAGGGACTGTGACACCCGCTTCAGATGGACCAAGGGCGTGACAGCTAAAGGTTGCGTGGGCCGAGATGTCGTCCAAATGCTCGAGGAAGCCATCCAGAGAGATGGGGTGGGTTTTAAAGGGACGGCGACAGCTGGAAAACAGATTCTAACAAAAATTAAAGGGATAGTGACACGGAAAAATCTCAATTTTCAGCGCATCAACGTCGAAATCATGGCGCTGATCAACGACACGGTGGGCACGATGGTGGCCGCAGCCTATCAGAACAACGGGCAATGCGATATTGGGGTGATTATTGGTGGGTTTTAGGCTTGGGCTTAGGCCTGGGCTTAGGCCTGGACTTAGCTTTGGCTTAGGCTTAGATACGTAGGCTTAGGCTTAGGTTGGGCTTAGGTTTAGGCTTAGGCTTCCGCTTAGGTTTAGGTTTTGACTTAGGTTTAAGCTTCGGCTTCGGCTAGCTTGGGCTTCGACTCCAGATAAAAACCCTCATTTTTCTAGGCACCGGCACCAACGCCTCCTACATGGAAAACACCAAAAACATCCACTACGGCCTGCAGAACGCCACCGAGAAGTACAACTACAATCAGGTCAGTTTGCAAGCGATGTTTTGAGACTTAAATGGACCAGTCAGAAAAACTTGGCCATTTTCAGGCTTCCAGGTGCCTTTAGAGCCTTGAAAAAATCTAAAAACAGGCTAAAACTCGAAAGTTGTAGATGATCATCGACACGGAGTGGGGCGGCTTTGGCGACAGGGGAGAAGCCGACTACATCTTCACCGAATACGACAAGATTGTCGACAAAAGATCTGATCATCCGGGTGTTAATTCGTAAGTTTCGGAATTTAACTTAGGCTTAGGCTCAAGCTTGGGCTTAGGCTTAGGCTTAGGCTTAGGCTTAGGCTTAGGCTTAGGCTTAGGCTTAGGCTTAGGCTTAGGCTTAGGCTTAGGCTTAGCTTAGGCTTAGGCTTAGGCTTAAGCTAGGCTTAGGCTTAGGCTTAGGCTTAGGCTTAGGCTTAGGCTTAGGCTTAGGCTTAGGCTTAGGCTTAGGCTTAGGCTGAGGCTTAGGCTTAGGCTTAGGCTTAGGCTTAGGCTGAGGCTTAGGCTTAGGTTAGGCTTAGGCTTAGGCTTGGGCTTATCGGAAGCCGCTTAAACTCCATTTTCAGACTCGATAAACTGATCGCTGGCATGTGCATGGGAGAGCTGGTCCGACTCGTCTTAGAAAAGCTGACCAGAGGAAAGGTGAGCAAGCTAGCAGAGACTCTTGAGGAAAGGGCAGGCTAGCAGAGATCCCTGAGGAAACCTCTCGTTTTCCAGGTTCTCTTCGAGGGTCTCGGCTCGGAGACGCTCTTCACAATCGGCTCCTTCCCCACCAAATACATTTCTGAGATTCTACAGTAAGTTAGAGCTACAGTAGCCGTGCGGGAAGGCTGGAAATTGAAGATTTTTGCATTTTAGTGATGATTGCGGCTCATATGTGCATACCCGGCAAATTATGGGCGAGCTGGGGATCGATGACTATACATTTTCGGATATGCTGTTGTTTAGGTGAGAGAGAGAGAGGGAGAGAGAGAGAGAGAGTGAGAGAGAAAGAGAAAAAGCGTAGGTAGCTTGATTTGCATATTTTCAGAGAAGTCTGTGTGGTCGTCTCCAGAAGAGCAGCGAATCTGGCGGCAGCTTGTAGGTTTTCTATCACCCTATCTAACGGGCCGATGAAGCCAAGAATCCATAGCTTTTCAGCGATCGCCTGCGTGCTGAATCGGGTCAAAAAGCCGCATATGATTGTGGGAATTGACGGGTCGACTTATAAGTAAGTTTTGTAAGCCAGATCTAAGCCCAAGCTTAAGCCTAAGCTAGGCAGACGACTAAGCTAAGCTTACGCGTAAGTAAGCCTAAGCCCAAGCCTGAGCTTAAGACCAAGCCGAAGCCTCAGCTAAGCCGAAGCTTAAGCCCAACCTAAGCCAAGAAAAAGCCTAAGCTTAAGTCTAAGCCAAACCTAAGCCTAAACCTAAGCCCAGGCCGAAGCTAAGCTTAAGGCTAGGCCCAAGCCTAAGCCTAATCCACCATTTTTTAGATACCACCCCTTCTTCGAGCACTGGGTGTACGAGAAGATCCGCGAGCTCATCGAGCCCGGGCTTGATGTAAGGTTTTCAGGATTTTACAGGGATTGGGAAGTGGTCAAAGCCAGAAAATCCATAGCCAGGCCTTAACCGCTCCTTTAAAGGTCCAAAGAAGTCTGGCTCCAATGGATTTTCACTTCAGAGTTCACTTTAAAAGCGCAAAACCCAAAAAAAGCTCCTTTTCAGTTCAAAATCGTGCAAACCGGTGATGGATCCGGAAGGGGAGCCGCCCTAATCACGGCAATTATTTGGAGACTCAAGAAAAGACGACAAGCCGAAGAGCAGAAACACTTGGCTCGAAGGCTGTCGATAGAGCAGTACGAGAAAGAGAGGGAAGAAAAGGAGAAGCAGACGGAGGAAGTGAAGCAGATTGAGAACAAGTGCGTGTTTTTGAGGGGCAGGCTAGCTGAGATTCCTTAGGAAAGGGCAGGCTAGCAGAGATTCCTTAGGAAAAGGCAGGCTAGCAGAGACTCTTTGGCATTATTTCCTCAATAAAACCTGCTAGATTGCCATACTTCTAGATGGTTCGACAGTCCAGCTGAAGTGATCGCCGCAGCCATCGGGCAGTCTGTAGCTGAAGATCCGGTTGATGTAGCTGCTCACGAGATTGAGGAGGTCGGTTAGGCTTAGGCTTAAGTTTAGGCTTAGGCTCAGGCTTAGGCTTAGGCTCAGGCTTAGTTACAAGCCTAGGCTTGGGCATAGACTTAGGCTTAAATTCCGGCTTAGGCTTGGGTTAAGCTTAGGCCGGGACTTAGCTTCGGTTTTGGTTCTGCTTAGGCTTAGGCTTAGGCTCAGGCTTCGCTTAGGCTTAAGCTTAGGCCTGGTCAGCTTCACTGTTGCGGACACGAAAGATCCTTTTAGCCGGAAGAATCGGTGATCGAACCTGATGATGGCCCCGGAACACTGGTAGATGAGCACAGAATAAAGCCACCAACGGAACCGGAAACACCGCGCAAAAAATTGAACGGTTCCCCGGAGAAAGATCATGATCATCATCATCAAGGTCTGAAAAATGAGGAGCCGATCGAAATTCCGTACGTGAACGGTGGACAGGTGCGTTTAAAGGCGTTTTGAAGTAAAGATTTGGGTAGCTAGCAGGGATCCTTGAGGAAACACCAAAAAAATTAATGATTTCAGGATGATGATACCTCCACCTCATCGCTTTCTGAAGAGCTCGACGGGTCGGCCAGGGAAATTGAATAGAAAAGTCGACCTTTGCAAAAATACTCGCTTAATTATTCATTTTCTATTATTTATTAGGTGTAGTTAGACAAATTAAAATGTCTCTCTCTCTCTCGCGCTCTCTCCCTTTATTTTTCTCTCTCGCTCTCTCTTCCTTTCTCTCTCTCGCCCTCGCCCTTTATTTTTCTCTCACGCTCTCTCTCTCTATCTCGCTTCTCTCTCGCTTTCTCTCCCTACACTTGCCGGTCCCTTTAAAGCCTTCAAATTCAATTTCAAGACTCGCGGCCTATTTTCAGTTGTGCCAACCTTTTTTTGATTTCCAGACTTCTAAATTTTAAATTGATACTTGATTGCCGTATCCCCTTGCCATCCCGCTCTACGTGTTCAGCTGGTCATCTACATTGCGAGTGTGCTGCTCATTTCCCGATTGCCCTCGACGTGTTGCTCAATTTTTTCAGAGAAAACTGCTATTGATTGGAGAAATAAATATTTTGTACCATTGAGAGGATGGAGAAATTGATGAAATTCGCATAAAAGAAAAGGGAAAATCGTAAAAATCAAGTTTCTATACTCCTTTCGCTGTCGCTCTCTCTTGCTCTCTTTCTCTCTCTCTCTCTCGCCAGACAGTCTAAAACAAATACGAGAAATTAGCCAAAACACGGCACAAAACTAGCAGAATAATATTTGCTAAAGCTTACGAAAACAATTGATACATCCGCCTCTCTCTATCTCTCTTGCTCGCTCTGTCTCTCTGTCCCTCTCTCTCGCCCGATCTCGCGCGCGCGCTCTCTCTCTCTCTCTCTCTCTCTTCTCTCTCTCTCTCCTCTCTCACTCCCACGTCCTCTTTCTCTCTCACTCTCTCTATCCATCTCTCTCCCCTCTTTCTCCCCCCCTCTCTCTCTCTCCCCCTCGCTCTCTCTCTCGCTGACTAATAGATCATTCTCCATCCGGTTGGCTACTTGATGACTCATGATTAGCGACCCCAAAATTTTATTATTCCAGTAGAGCCAAAAAACGGCCGACTACGAGCCGATCCGCTACCCCGGCAGCTAAGTCAACAAATCCCGGGCCCACCTCTGAATTTTCCACATAAAATGTGGGGGTTGCTCATGTCACATTCGTATTGGGCTGTATAGTGTTGGCCACAGTTTTTGCCCATTTCAATTACAGTATGAGATCCATTCTTCAAAGAATCTCAGCTAGCCTGCCCTTTCCTAAAGAATCTCTGCTAGCCTGCCCTTTCCTAAAGAATCTCTGTTAGCTTGCCTGTGATTTCCGCTATCCAAAAATACATAAATTAGTTTTTAAAGCATGCTCGGTCACCTGAAGTTACTCATCATCGCCGTCACGGCCGTCTCCGCCCAGTTCAGAATCCCGGGCCAAGCGGTAAGACGAGAGAGAGAGAGGGAGAGAGAGAGAGAGAGAGGAGAGAGAAAAAGACAGAGTGAGAGAGATTGAGAGAGAGCGAGGGAGAGAGCGCGCGACTTAAAGAGCGAAATAAACCCCTATAAAATGCAATCTAGGGCTCCCAATCTGGCCCGCAACCTGGCCAACAAGGCGGTCAGCAACCGCAGCAACCTGGCCAGTTTGGTCAGCAACAACAAGGCCAACAGGGCCAACAGGGACAGCAGATTCTCCCGGTAACCTTGCCTACAATTTTCCGTTATATTACTCTTTCCAGTGGCAGCAGAACGGCCAAAATGGCATGAACAACCAGAACGGACAGCCGGGAGGCCAGCAGACGTTCCCTGTAGGTTTTCGCTCTGCTGCTATCTCTCTATCTTGCTCTCTCTCTCTCTCTCTCGCTATATCTCTCTCGCTCTCGCATTCTCTCTAACGCTCGTCTTTTTACTAAAATAATTGTAGACCCAACAAAACGGCCAGTTCGGCATCCAACAGCAAGGCCAACAAGGTCAGCAGGGTCAGCAAACCTTCCCGGTAAGTTTGCTCGCGCTTTGTCTCTCTCTCTCTCTCTCTCTCTCTCTCTCTCTCGCTGTCTCTCTCTCTCTCGCCTATCTCTGGCTTGCTCTTGCTTTCTCTCTCTTTCACTCTCTCTCTGTCGCTCTCTCTCTCTCTCCCTCCCCTCTCCCGTATTGTCGATTCACCCCTACGATTTTTATGTAGCCTTTTCAGAACCAACAAAACGGCCAATTCGGCAACCAACAACAAGGCCAACAAGGTCAATTCGGCCAGGGCCAAAACGGCAACCAGCAAATCGTCGTAGGCCCTAAAAATCTTCCAAACAAAAATTTCGTTCAGCCCGGACCCGGCCAACCCATCAACTCGAACACAAACGGCGCCAACGGCTACCAGCCCTGGGGCCAGAATCAGAACCAGGGCGGTCAGCAGCAGGGAGGTCAGCAGGGAGGACAGTTCGGAGGGCAGCAAGGAGGTCAACAGCAGCTCCCCTTCGGCAACCAGAACAACCAGGTAAGCTAGAAGGGATCGTTGAGGGTTCGCTTATTTTCAGAACCAAGGAGGCCAATTCGGGCAGCAGGGCCAACAAGGGCAGTTTGGCGGCCAACAGGGCCAGCAGGGTCAGATCGGCGGATTTGGGCAGAATCAGGTAGGAGGATAGGCTTAGGCTTAGGCTTAGACTTAGGCTTAGGCTTAGGCTTAGGCTTAGGCTTTGGCTTAGGCTTAGGCTTAGGCTTAGGCTTTGGCTTAGGCTTAGGCTTAGGCTTTGGCTTAAGCTTCTCATAATCACCTTGCTTTCAGGACAACGGCAACCTGGAAAAGAACACTTTCGGCAACTCGATGACGACGCTGCCCGACTTTGTCATCCAAGCCCCGGTCGAAGCTCGCGAAGCTTTCGCCCAAATCATTCAGCAGGTGGGGCTGCTCAAACGGCCTCTGCTAGCCTGCCCTTTGCAAAGAATCGCTGCTGGCCTGCCCTGTAAATCTTTTTTTTCAGACCAATCAAACCCTGGCGCAACGTGACGCGGCGCTGCTCAAGTGGTCCAACACGTACAACGTTACGGTAAGCGCCGAAACCAACCAGTTACGCAATGGAATTGGTTTTAGGCCCAGTACAACACCTACGTGGCCAAGGAGACGAACACGACATTGCAGCTGCAGAGTGAGTTGATTAGATTAGGCATAGGCTTAGGCTTTGCTTAGGCTTAGGCTTAGGCTTAGGCTTAGGCTAGAAATATAAGGATCTAAAATTTACAACGCTCTAGGCAACGCCACGCAGACCCTGGTGGAAATGCAACAAGTCCTCGCCAAGCTGTTCGCCCTCCAGAAGAACACCTCCCTGACGACGCAGCAGATCGGTAAGCGCGGATTTTCATATGGATTATGACTTCAATGGTTGATCCTTTAAACTTGCTTTTTTCAGTCCAAACCATCGAGACGACCCTGTCGACGATGAGCAACGACAAGAGGGCCCTGCTTGGACAGGTGGGCTAGCAGAGATTCTTTAGGAAAGGGCAGGCTAGCAAAGATTCTTTAGGAAAGGGCAGGCTAGCAGAGATTCTTTAGGAAAGGGCAGGCTAGCAGAGATCATTAGGGACTTTTCGGGTCTTACGCTATTTTTCAGATCCTCCGAATCGCCGGCGGTCAAACACAGCCCCAACAGCCGAACGGTACTGATTTTTGGGCTTACTGTAGATTTCCTGCGTTTTAGGAAACGGCTTCAACCAGAACGGGCAAAACGGAATAAACGGAAATAATGGAAACAATGGAAATAATGGCTTTAATAACCAAAATGGCCAAAATGGCCAAAATGGATTCAATGGAAACAACGGCTTCAACAGCCAAAACGGACAAAACGGACAAAACGGACAAAATGGCTGGCAACCCAGGGACTACTCGAATAATTTTGGCGTTAATGTGATGCATGTGTCGTGAAAAATTACTTGAAAAGTGATCAAAATCATTGTTTGAATAAATATTTGAAGTCAGCCCACCCCGTTCCCAAAGAATATCTGCTAGCCTGCCTTTTCCAAAATAACCCTGTTAGCCTGCCCGCAATTTTCTAGCAGTCCAGGAGAACCAGAAGCTTTTCGAGCAGTTCAGAGTTCAGAGTTCAGAGCAGTTCAAAAAGCCGAAGCTTTGTCGAGCAGTTCAGAAGTAACCGAAACTTTTCATGCAGTTCAGAAGTAACAGTCTAACCGAGGCTTTTCGAGCAGTTCAGGAGAACCAGAAGGTTTTCTAGCTGTTCAGAAGTAACCGCGCTTTTACGCGCAGTTCGGGAACGGCAGAAAATTTTCGAGCAGTTCAGAAGAAACTGAAGCTTTTCGAGCAGTTCAGTAAAAGCCGAGGCTTTTGGAGCAGTTCAGAAAAAGTCGAAGCTTTTCGAGCAGTTTAGAAGAAGTCGAAGCTTTTCGAGCAGTTCAGGAGAACCAAAAGATTTTCGAGCCGTTCAGAAGAAAACGAAATTTTTGTAGCAGCTCAGGAGCAACCGAATCTTTTGGAGCAGTTCAAAAGTAAGTAACCGCGGTCTTTTCGAGCAGTTCAGAAGCAACCGAAGCTCTCCGAGATATTCAGAAGAAAACGAAAGTTTTGGAGCAGTTCAGAAGTAACCGCAGTTTTTTCGAGGAGTTCAGAAGAAACTGAAGCTTTTCGAGACGTACAGGGGAAAATGAAGGTTTTGGAGCAGTTCAGGAGAACCAGAGCATGTCAAAAAGCCAAGATTTTCGAGCAGTTCAGAAAGCTGAAAGCTTTTTTCACCTGTCTCTTCCCCTTTAAGTGCATTTCTAATATCCTCATGTTTTAATATCTCCTTTATCCACACTCAATCAATACCTCAATTTTCAAATTATCCAAAAAAAAAACACCAAAACACACAAAAATTAGCATAAAAAATCCTTGCACATTTTCGGGATCGGGGCGCATTAATAGCGTGGCTTAATAGCTGCATTGGGCAATTTAAAGAATTCCGAATTAAAGCACAACGACTACAATTTGGCAACAATGCAAAATCACACACAAAAAACACAAAATTCTATTAAAATTCCAGGTGTTTTCGGGTTTACGGTTTTTGGGATCACAAGGGAACCGGGGCGCTGAATAGGGGGCAAATCAGCGATTTTAAAAATTTCTAATATTTTAATTTTAATTTTAAATTTAAGCTAATTACTATAGTATTTTTGGGGGGTTAATATGCAGATTTTGGGGGCTAGAAAATCGCAATCCGGATTAAACGATGTGTGACGCACACGCTTGCTGAGTTTTCGGAATTTTCGGCGGTTTTTGGGTAGGAAATTGGCTGGATGCAAATTAGGTTAGGCTTAGGCTGGGCTTAGGCTTAGGCTTAGGCTTAGGCTTAGGCTTAGGCTTAGGCTTAGGCTGGGCTTAGGCTTAGCCTCAGGCTTCGCTTAGGCTTTGCTTAGGCTTTGCTTAGGCTTAGCCTAGCTTAAGCTTAGCTTCGGCTTCGACTTAGGCTTAGGCTTAGGCTTGGCTTAGGCTTGGCTTGGCCTGGCTTGGTCTTAGCCTAGCTTAGGCTTAGCTTAGGTTTCGACTTAGGCTTAGGCTTCGCTTCAGGCTTAGCTTAGGTTTAGGCTTCGCTTAGGCTTAGGCTTAGGCTTAAGCTTAGCCTCAGGCTTAGCTTAGGCTTGGACAAACTTGGACATAAGTTTTTCGAGAAATTATGCAAATTTCAAAATATTTTCAGCCAATTTTCCCTCCCGAAAAAATCCGGGGAATGTGTAAGTTTAACATCAAACTCGACAGCGCATTAAAGCCAAAAATTTAAAGCTTCTCAAACTATAACAATATCGTAAAAATTATGCAAATTACGCAAATGACAAGGCCTCATTGCTAGTGGCGTCGGGAGAAGACCGCAATTATTGGGCGGTGGGAGGGGGGATTATTGCAAATCAGGGTACCAAAATTCCACAAAATCACATCAAAAATTATTAGGAAAATGGTGAGAATTTTGAATAGAAAATTTCTGAAAAAAATCAATGCAAAAAATGAGTTAAAGCAAGTGCACTGCGGGAGTATGACAAAGCGCGCGAAGTTTTTAAAGCACTTTAGGAGAAAAGGTTGGATGCAAATTAGGCAGAGGAGGCTTAGGCATAGGCTTAGGCTTAGGCTTAGGCTTAGGGGGCTGGAAATTACTCTAAAGTTGTGACATATACCGTACGCTACTGGCAATTGGGAGGGTGTGAAATGTGAAAAATCGAAGCTTTCGAAGCCGAAAATCAAAGCTTTCGAAGCCTAAAACGAAGCCAGCGGGCTGGCCGTCGAGGCGGAGGTGGTTACGGTAGATGTGGGAAACAGAGCAGCAACTTTCGCGACGCGATGTTCATCGGTTTGGAGGTGGTTCTGAAAATGACATAATTAGCATAAAACTAGATAAAATTCGTGGTAGTCCTATGCTTAAGCCTAAGCCGAAGCCTAAGACCAAGCCAAAGCCTGAGACCAAGGCAAAGCCTAAGTCGAAGTCAAGCCAAACCGCCCACCTTGAAGTCGACCTGGGTGCCAAAGTGCTGGCCGCACGGGATGCACTCGTAGTGGGTCTGGACGAGCACGAGCTGGCCCTCCGCTTGCGAGCAGATTGTCCTGGAATACGAACGGTAAGGAAATCCTCTCTCTCTCTCTCTCTCTCTCTCTCTCTCTCTCTCTCTCTCTCTCTCTCTCTCTCTTGCTCTCTCTCACTCTCTTTCTCTCTCTGTCTCTCTTTCTCTCTCTCGCCCTCTCTCTTTATCTAGCTCTCTCTCACTCTCTTTCTCTTTGTCGCCCTAAAACCAACCTCTGATGGGATTTGAGGAGAGCTTCTTGTTGGAAGACATTCGTGCATCGGGAGCACGCCCAGCCGACCTGAAAAGTAAGAATTTAATACCGTAATGCTTTACATTAGTGAGCGAGAGTGAGAGAGAGAGTGAGAGAAAGAGAGAGAGTGAGGGAGAGAGAGAGAGAGAGAGAAAGAGAGAGAGAAAGAGAGAGAGAACCTCACCTCCATATTCTTCTGCGCCGCACACTTTGCATCATCCTCGTCAAGGCTCGAGATCAGCTCCTCAAACGCGAGCCCATCTTGCGTGAACTTTGTCGTCATCCGGCCCTCGCTCAAGTCGGTGGTGATCTGGGCCATGACCGTTTCAGGGATCTGCAACAGAGGAATCGGCGTGCCCATCACGCTCGGGTCGTACACCATCGGGAGGGAGCCTGAAATGGGCAAGATAGGCTGATGGCTAGCTAGCAGGGATTCTTGGGGAGATCTCTGCTAGCCAGCCCTTTCCTAAAGAATGTATGCTAGCCTGCCCTTTCCTAAAGAATCTCTGCTAGCCTGCCGGACAATTCTCAAATGATCTCTGCTTACCTTGCGGCAGTCCAAAGTGCAACAGGTTAAACGGGAATTCGTGCGCATTCAGCGGTGCTGCTCCCTTCTTTGGTGAGGAGTCCCGGACAATAGGTGCTCTTTGTCGTCCTCCATTCTCCTCGACACTCCTCGTCGCCGTCTCCGTCTCATCGCCCTGGTGCAACGACTTCAACACGGTCAGATGGGGCTGGGAGAAGACGTGGTCTTGGAGAGACACCCGGGATGAGAACTCGACGTTGCAGTAGCTGCACTGGGTGGGGAACGGCCTGGAGATGTCGTCGTCCTGGCCGTTGGCCACTCGAGTTTTTCGCTCTTTCGCACGAGCATTTTGGAACCACACTTGCACGACGCGCTTGTGGAGGCCTGAAAGTGGTGGAGCTAGAATGACAAAAATTCTCTAGGAATCTCTGCTATTTTGCCTCTAGAGGTGACCGAATTTCCTACAGAATATCTGCTAGCCTGCCCTTTCCTAAAGAATCCCGGCTAGTATGCCCGAAATAAATAACATATCTCGCTAAAAATAGACAAAATCCGAAGCTTTTCGAGCAGTTCAGGAGACCCAGAACATTTTCGAGCAGTTCAAAAAATCTCTGCTAGCCTGCCCTTTCCTAATGAATCTCTGCTAGCCTGCCCATTCCTAAAAAATCTCTGCTAGCCGCCCCCCAAAAATCCCTCACCAATATCCCGTCCCAGCGTGTCGCACTCGGACATTGAAGGCGTCTTGTATTCCGAGAAGATACACTTCATGACGTGGACTTGAAGTGGAGTGAGATGGGTACGGTATCGCTTGTTGTTAGCGGGGCTTCGGGATTCTCCTTGGGATGAGGTGGATTGCATGGCGTTGTGGGCCAGGGCGGAGAAGATGTCATCTCCCTGGTCGTCACCTGGAAAGCGAGGGATGAAGAGAGAGAGAGAGAGAGAGAGAGAGAGAGAGAGAGAGAGATAGGAAAAGAACCCACCATCAGAGCCTCCACCTAAAAAAGGAGAAACCGAGAGGTCGTGTCGTTCCATCGAGCCGTTCGACGACAGGTCGAGCGGAATCGACGTGTCGCCCAGGAGCGTTGAGGACAATGAGGGCACCTGAAAAAACAAAAATAGGGATTTTCTAGCCCTTTAAAACGCGAAAAACCCCAGTTTTTGGGACTTCCTGATCCCATTAAAATCGGCCAGAAACAAGGGAAATCCAGAGATATGTCATTGCCAAGCCCTTTAAAACGCTAAAATCCGCGATTTTCAGACTTGCCAGTCTCTATAAACGAAAAAACCCACATCATCCGCACTCGGCAACGCATCGATGTCGATAGGCGCCTTCTGTAGCTGCAGCCCATGCTTGGCCGGTAGATGCTCAGCCAGCGACTGCCGCGACCGGAACAGCAAGCAGCAAAACGGGCATCGCTTGTGGAAATGCGGGCTTGTCGTCGTTGAGCTTGACGATGTCGTCGTGGACGGGGTCTTGGCCGCCTCGCACATCTTCAGGAGGGCTTCTGTGGAGCCGGAGCCCTGGAGGAGCTTGAGCAGCTCGGCCGGGTCGGCGAGGGCAGGCGATTTGGAGAGAGGCGGAGCCTCCGGATTTCCGGCGAGTTGCTCCTTCTCGGCGTCGGTGAGCAGTCCCTCGACGCCCTTGTTGTCTTGGAGTTGAGCCTGGAATCGATGTGGTTATATCAGTGTAGCTGCCACGAGTTCAAGACGTTCAGGAGATAGGCTAGCAGAGATTCTTTAGGAAAGGGCAGGTTAGCAAAGATTATTTAGGAATGTACAGTACCTGACAATCGTCCTTGTAGCACTTCTTCTGTTGATGTTGGATCAGCTCGTAGTATCGCTGGAAGACGAGGTTGCACCGTTTACACTGGAAGTTGCAGCCGGGCGTCCTGACGAAGCGGTCGCTGTTCTCGAGATTTGGCTGATTCTCGTAGATCTTTCGGGCCTGAAAATTGGGTATTAACCGAATTTTCGAGGGGTACGGTAGCTGGCACAGAAGCTGTTACAGTAACCACTTTCTTGCCTTCCCAGTCCCTTTAAAATCCAATAAAAATTTACTCACCTTTTGCCTCGCATTCTGGAACCACACGACAATGACCCGCGGGGAGAGCTGCAACTTCTTCGACAACAGCTCCAGGTCGTCGTCCTTGGGGTAGGCCTGCTTGTCGAAGAACTGTTGAAGTGTCCGCAGCTGATAATCCGTGAATCGCGTTCGGTTCGCCCTCCGCCCAGCCGTTGATGGGGGTGTCGGCTGGGAGATCGGGTTCAGATTTCCGGCCAAAAGATTCCCGAACACCTCCTTGTCTTGCATGAATGAGAAGGGGTTCTGTTGGCCCTGGAAAAGGGAGATTCGGGTGTGAAATTTCCTTAAAAATATCTGCTAGCCTGCCTTTTCCTAACGAATCTTTGCTAGCCTGCCCGAAAAAAATAACAGTAAACGGCTGAAAATAGAAAAAAGCCGAAGCTTTTCGAGCAGTTCAGAAGAACCGCGGTCTTTTTCGAGCAGTTCAGAAGAACGGAAATTTTTTTTTGCGAGCAGTTCAGAAGAAATCGAAGCTTTTCGAGCAGTTCAGGAGAACCAGTAGTTTTCCGAGCAGTTCAAAAAGATTATTTTAGGGTGTGAAATTCCTTAAAAATCTCTGCTATCCTGCCCATTCCTTAAGAATCTCTGCTAGTCTACCATAGAAATTCCTGAAATATCCCTTATAGTGCCTGATCTCAAAGACTCTCTGCTAGCTTGCGCTTCAATTCCCAAAACACACCTGCAAGCTGCCCAAAATCGCTGCCAAATTTGGCGCCCCAGCTCCCAGCGCGGCCTGTAGATTCATGGGTTGTTGCTGGGCCGGCTTCTTCTCCTCCAGCTTCTCCTGCTTGACCTCCTTCTCGACGTGGGGTACCGTCGGGAAAGCGGAAATTTGGGCGGGGCCGCTGCCGGAGCCGTTGATTTGTTCGGGGGTGAGGGGATGCACGCGGGTTTCGCCCGTCTTCTCGTACATGTCCAAGTCGATGCCCATTTGGGGCGGGATGGAGAAGTTGTACGGGGAGTCCTTGTCTCGTTGGCGTTCCTGGAAAAATTTACATGAAAATATGATCCCTGAATTTCCGAAAGAATCTCTGCTAGCCTGCCCTTTCCTAAAAAATCGCTGCTGGCCTGCCCGAGCTTTTCGAGCTGCTCAGAAAAAGCCCTAGCGTTTCGAGGAGTTCAAAAGGAACCGATACTTTTCGAGCAGTTCAGGGGAACCAGAAGCTTTTCGAGCCGCTTAGAAGTATCCGAAGTCTTTTCCGAGCAGCTAAGCCGAGGTTTTTCGGGCAGTCCAGAGAAAGCCGAAGCTTGTCGAGCAGTTCAATCATACCTTGAACAGCGTATTCCGGAACCAGTGCTTGATGACCTTCTCGGGCAGCTGCGTCTTCAGGCTCATCTCCCGGATCTGGGCCTCGGTGGGGCTGTTGTTGATATCGAAATATTGGCGGAGGACCTTCAGCTGATCGTCGGTGATCCTCGTGCGAGCTCGTTTTGCAGGAGAAGCAGCTGCTTGAAGGGCTACCATCTGAAAAGATAAATATCAGCATAATCCAGTGAATAGAGTAGCTAAGCCTAAGCCTAAACCTAAGCATGGCCTAAGCCTAAGCCGAAGCCTAAACTTAAGCCCAAGCTAAGCCTAAGCCAAAGCCTAAGCCTAACTAAGCCCAGGCCAAGCCGGCTTCAAAACCCGAAATTCCAAGCCCAACCTGCTGCGCCAGTAGCGGGTTGAAGAAGCCGTCCATCGGCAGGAAGGGGTTCGGCTGCAGGAAGGGGAAGCCGGCCTGCATCATGTTGAGCATCATCTGGGCGGTGGCGTCGCCGGCAGAGGCGTCGTTTTCGTTCCGGGATTTCTGAAAAATGAGGTTATTAAATCGTGGTAAAAGATTAGCTTAGGCTTTGGCGTAGGCTTAGCCTTGGCATAGGCTTAGGCTTGGGTTAAGCTTAGGCTTAGCATAGGCTTAGCTTAGGCGTAGGCTTGGCTTAGGATTGGCATAGGCTTAGCTTAGGCTTAGGCGCAGCTTCTCCGCTTGCATACCTTCTCCGGCGGTTCCATCGTATCATCCCTTGAAGAGCTTCTACTCTCATTCGACCCTGGATTCGACACCTCGACAGCCGATTCCTCAATGGTCTTTGCCAGCCGTTGGGTGAACGCTTCGAGGTGGGCGGGGCTTAGCTGGCCGTCGTGGGCTTCTTCTTGGTGTTGCTTGAGGGCGAGGAGGCTGGGGAGTGTTTGGGCGCAACTCTCGCACTCCGACTTGGCCAACTCGCGACACAGGTATCGGGGAGGTCGTCGAGGCGGGTGAGGAGCGTTTGGAGGGAGTCGGGGAACTGAAAACGCGGGGTTTAAAGGTGTCGTGAAGGGAACTTTAGATAGCGTAAATAATTTTAAAGGACTGTTGAAGGCAATTTAGATGGCGTAATGAATGGGCTTTAAAGGGGTACCGAAGGCAAATTTGATGGCCTAATTAGCTTTAAAGGACTGTTGAAGGCAAATTTAAGTGGTTTAATCGGTTTTAAAGGCCTGTTGAAGGCAAATTTTGGTGGCGTAATTGGTTTTAGAGGGCCCTAGAAGACAAATTTAAATGCGGCAATACTTTTAAAGGACTGTTGAAGGCAAATTTCGACTTTTGCAACCAATTTTAAAGGCCCAATGAATCCAATCAGATCCTCAAAATGTCTAATAAATCCCGATTCGGGTGTAAAAGCCAATTTTGAAGGACCATTGAAGGGAAATTCAAAATTTCGGATACCTCCTCGACGCCGATCGCCTCGATCATCCGCCGTAGGCCGGCGACGGTGGTTGGCGCAGCTGCGTCATCGTCGCTCGACGAGGAGGTGGAAGCTGGAATATTCGATGCTACAGAATTCCAGCTAAAAAACTCACGCAGCAACTGCCCGGGCTTCATGTTGAACAGCTGGGCCATGTTGAGCAGGTTGTTGAACATGGCCATCGGGTTGGAGGCCGCGCCCGCCTGGAAAACGAGAGATATTTCAGGAATCGGAAAATCTAGAATGCTAAAGTTTTCCCAAAAATCTTTGCTGGTACGCTCAAAAATGCGAGAGAGTGGTAGAGAGAGATCGAGAGAGAGACAGAGAGGGACAGAGCGAGAGAGACAGAGAGCGAGAGAGATAGAGAGAGCGAGAGAGAGAAAGAGAGATAGAGAGAGATAGAGAGAGAAAGAGAGAGAGAGAGAGAGAGAGAGAGAGAGAGAGAGAGAGAGAGAGAGAGAGAGAGAGAGCGCGCGATCAAGAATCAGAAAACAGAAAATTCCAAAAAAATCTTTGCTTGCCATACATATCTCTGCTAGCGTTTCTTGTGGTATCGAAAAATTCAAAGAGATAGAGCGAGAGAGAGAAAAAGAGAAAGAGAGAGAGAGAGAGAGCGATAGAGAGCGAGAGAGATATCGAGAAACCAAATTTCCCACCAAATTCCCATTCCAAATTCCATCGCAATACCCATATCCGGCCCCAATTTCCATGCCATCCCCCCTGGTCGCGTGAATGGTATTGGATGGGTCTTTGTGTAGCGCCCCACCCTTGAAATGTAATGAGTACAGTCGCGTTGTCCGCCCCCCCCCACTCAATCAATCCGCCACACTAATTGGTTTTCGCGGCGCTCTGGCTCCTCTCAATTCTCGTGCTCACTCACGCCCTCCCTAACTGCTATATATGCAATGGATGAATTGAATGAATGGTTATTGACAAATCGGGGCGCGCGCCGGTAAATTGCCGGGGTGATGGGAAAATGGGCCCGATTGGGACGATTTTCGGGAATTGGCTATATTGAAATTTGATGAGAATTTGGCCTCCTCGAATTTCGGGGTAACTGGCAGGAAAAATTTGAGACAAATAATGAAAGAGCCAGAGGTAGAGAGAACGCGAGAGAAACAGAGAATGAGAGAGAGAACGAGCAAGAGTGTTAGTGAGATAAAGCGTAATGGCAAGAAAAAGAGCAGGAGCGTGAGCCAGAGAGAGAGAGAGAAAGAGAGAGAGCGAGAGAGAGAGTGAGAGAGAGAGAGAGAGAGAGAGAACGAGAGAGAGTAAGAGAGAGATAGAGTTGAAAATCCGGAAAAAGTTGAGGAAAACTGTTGCCATTCCGGCAAAAAAGGTCGTTAGGAGCACGTCTAGAGATCGGAGGCGATTATAGGGCATTTCCTTGACGAAATTACAAATTTGAAAAGCAGGTGACAACACTCGTATAGGTGGTAAACAAGGTAAACATTAAGATTACGGCATGATGAAAGAGCGAGAGCGAGAGCGAGAGAGAGAGAGAGAGAGAAAAAGAGAGAGAAAGAGAATGAAAAGCGAGAGCTAAATAAAAACAGGGAAAATTAAAAATTCTACAGTATCTAGAATTTTCGCGGATCCAGCACAGAAATATCGAAAATTTTGCAAATTCATCGTCGATTCATTTGGAGCATGACTGTCCGGGGGTGGCCCTCAAATTTAGGAGTGTATGGGGGAGTGGGCGGAGCAAGGCCATTTCTCTCTCTCTCTCTCTCTCTCTCTCTCTCTCTTCTCTCTCACTCCCTGGCGCGAAGGCCTCTAATTTGCATGAGACTGTCCAGCCTCCTCCTCCTCCTCCCCTGACCATGACGAATAAATGAGCGTGTGGCCGATCTGAGGGCGAGAGTGTGAGAGTGAGAGAGAGAGGAAGAGAGAGAGAGAGAACGAGAGAGAGAGTGTGTGTGTGAGAGCGGGAGAGAGCGAGAGAGAGGCAATTTAGAGGAGGCCGACACCGGCGATCCGTCACGATTTACGAGCCGCCCTTGCCCCCACCACCTCGATCCCTTAATTCGGGCCGACGGTTTTTGTAGGCCCGGAATTAGCGTAGCGCGGCGGAATGTCTGGTTTAAAGGGTCCAGGAAGCCAAAAATTGGTGGATTTTCGCAGCTTGACCATCCCAAATTTAGCGCAGCCTTTTCAGTAGTCTGCCGTAACCCGCCGAAAAAATTTTTGAGAAAAAGGCCCCAGCTGGGACCCACGCATCTGCTTTATGCATTTTTAAAAAAAATCCTGATGCATAATTTGCCCTCGGAAAGTGCAGAATTAGCGTCTGGCCGCCCAGCTGTGCGCACAGAGGAAAAAAGATTTTTTGCAGCCAAGGGCAGATCAGCAACAGTAGGACAATGTGCTAATTTTGACGGCGTATCTTGTATACTGTATCTTAACAAAAAGGACAAAATTAGATTACTACAGTACGTGACAGTACGCGACAGTGCGCTACAGTACGATGCGCTACGCGAGGATACGGTGATGTATACTACAGTACGCTTCGCCAAAGTATGTGGTACACCATGATACGCGATAGTACACTACGCTACGGTAGAATACAGTGAAGTACCGTAGGACTCGTACAAAGCTCTAAAGTACGCAAAAATACGCGGCGTAACAGTACGCGACAGTACGCTATGCTAGCCGCAGTACCCTGAGCGCGTTACGCGTTACGTTATAGTACGCGTCCGCTACGTAATAGTTCACGACTGTACGGTACGTAACATTAAGCGCGAGTACGCTACAGAATTCCGTGCTTCATCAGCCAAGGCATTCATCAAAAAATTGCCAGTTACTGTAGTCACGCCAAAAAATTCCGGGCCGCTCCTCTAGACGCTACAAAAGTTGGCGGAAAGTTTTGGAAATGAAACGAAATAAAGTGAACGAGACTTTCCGGCACCCCCACGCTATCAGCTTAATCACTCTAGAATAACTCATAAAGGGAGAGAGAGAGAGAGAGAGAGAGAGAGAGATAACAAAAGATGAAGCCGCAAACTTTATGATTTCCGGGGTATTCCCCGGACCGAAGCCGGGTGATGAGTTGGCTCACCCGAAAAAAGGGCATCCCAACCTTTCGCGGCCCTTTAAAGGGCCCGAAGCGGGTGAGAGAGAGAGAGAGAGAGAGAGAGAGGAGAGAGAGTGAGAGAGAGGGAGTGCGATGGAATACAAAGACAAAGCCCGGGAATCATATGTATATTGTTGGTTGTCACCACGGGGCCCGTGGGGCTGTGCAAGTCAAGTCACAACACGCCGAAGACGCGCTTTGGCGCATACGGCGGCCTTTGTGAAGAGTTGCGGGTCGTACACTGAGTCATAGAGGGGTGAGAGAGTGAGAGAGAGAGGGAGAGAGAAAAAATCAGAATCGACTAAATATGCCAGTTTCGCATTTGAATACTGTAGATTTTGCATTCCGGATCCCTTCCAAACGCGGGCCTAGGCTTAAGTTAAGCTTCGATTTCGGCATTTTGGCTTAGTCCATTTCCGGCTTAAACCTGGCTAAGCTTGATCTCAGCTAGTAAGATTTCGGCTTAGGCCACGCTTCGGTTTCGGCTTAGGTTAAGCTTCGTTTTTGGCTCAGGTTAGGCTTCGTTTCGGCTTAGTTTAAGCTGATTTCCGCTTAGGCCAAGATTAAAGCTAGGCTTGGGCTTAGGCTTAGCCCAGGCGGCGCGTCCTGTCGGCGCATCATAAAGGTGTTGATTCACACCTAAAAAGCCCCCTACCGCCGTATGAAGATGGGAGGAGGAGGAGAGAGAGAGAGAGAGAGAGAGAGAGAGAGAGAGAGAGAGAGCAAAAAGTCATGATCCCCAAAAATGATCCAGCACTTTGAGGCGCTCCCTATGAGTCGTGGGAAAGCGGAGAGCACGGCTCATTCCCGATTCCTTTATGAGCGGCACCTCGCGCGATTGGACCGCCTAATTTGCATATTCTTGCCAGGGGTCTTACTTTCAAAATAAGCTGGGCTTAAAGGGACCGGGAAGTAGATCCATGAAGCGGGAGAGAGAGAGTGAGAGAGAGAGCGAGAGAGATAGAGTGAGAGAGAGAGAAATCCCTTAAGCACGAAAAAATCCTCTCCAAAATTATTGCCAGCCCCTCGCGCCTCGCCAAATTCAATGCCCAAACACCCTTCGATATATGGGCAAACACTATTTATCTCTCTCTCTCTCTCTCTCTCTCTCTCTCTCCCTCTCTCCCCTCGCACTAAACCCGATTTTGGCGGCGGATGATCGTATTAATCATGAATCAGCCTCCCCGCGCTCCGTCAATCGGAGCCCCGCGGAATAGGGAGGGGGATTATTTCGTCTCAGCTGATAGCCCACCGACAAAGCCAATCGAGCGGTGGAGGGGGTACGGTAGGGTGGCAAATAATAGGCAATGGGGGGATGGGTGTGAATCAGGACGATCCGCTGGGGGGAGCTACGCAGATTACGCACAAATTTGGGTGAATTTCCGGTGAGATAAGCCTAAATATAAGCCGAAGCCTAAGCCTAAGCCGAAGCCTAGGCGTAAGTCGAAGCTTAAGTTCAGCCTAAGCCTAAGCCTAAACTTAAGCCGAAGCTTGTGTTCAACCTAAGCCTAGTCCGAAGCCTGAGCCTAAGCCTAAGCCTAAGTATTTAGCCTAATTCGTCCAAATTAAGTATTTTAGGTAGCTAATTTGCATAATCACCAATTCAAACAAGCTTCAGATAAGGCAAAAACCCTTAAATTTGACTTTTCGACTAATTTGCATACCATCGATCAGAAATCCAATTTATGTAATTTTCCGATTTTTCGAAACATTATTAATTGCGAACATATTAATTTGCATCTTCAAAACTAAAAAAAAACAGCGGTTGCCGGCGCAATAAAAAATGCATGGACTAATTTGGGCAAAATCGACGAGCTACCGTAGCTAAAATCACAAATTCCGGGTTTTCGCTAAATTCTCTACCCTGGAATTTCCATCCATGGGCCCGGATGGTAATTTCCGACCCATTCCAATAGACGGCGGTGCTCAAATTGTCGCGCCTTTTGTATGTGGGGGTGATCGTAGCCCCGGGGGGCACATTTGTCGGGCTCCCCGACCATTTGGGGGGAGAATTGCTCAACGAGGTGTCAATATTTGTGCACGGCCATTTAGGGGTGGGAGAGAGAGAGGGAGAGAGAGAGAGAGCGAGAGAGGGAGAGAGAGAGCGAGCGAGAGAAAGAGAGGCGGATCAGCCTGCAAAAAGCCATAAATCGCCAAAGACGGTGCCGATCCCCCAATTTTTTAGGCTTTTGTGTGTTTTTCCGGGGGTGTACGGAATGGCTGTACGGTGATTTGGCGCTATTTCCGGTGCGGTGGGGATTTTTGAATATTTGGGGAGGGCAGGCTAGCAGAGAATCTTTAGGAAAGGGCAGGCTAGCAGAGATTCTTTAAGAAATGGCATGCTACCAGAGATTCTTTAAGAAAGGGCAGGCTAGCAGAGATTCCTTACGATTTAAAGGGATTATCAAGTCTGGGATTAGAATAACCTTGATGCACCGGGCTCAAGAGTTGCCCCAGATCAGCGCCGGGGGCGCTGACGATTCTCAGGGTTCTCAAGGGGGATTTGGGGCAATTTGAGGTGGTGGTCGTATCTCTCTCTCCCTCTCTTTCACTCTCTCTCTCTCTCTCTCTCTCGTTCTCTCGCTCCCTGTGGATACAGTCTACCTCCTCCTCCTCCTCATTTGCATTCAAATAGGGGGCAACGAAACTGGGGCATTCCAGCCGGGGGGCACCAGAGACAACTCTTTAGCCTCGCCAAATCACCAACTAGCCCCGAGGGCTCGATCTCAGGATTGGGGCCAATTGCCGGATTAGCTGAGTTGACTCTATGGGGGTTGGGTTTAAGGCTTGCCGACCTCTCGAAGGGCACAAGATCACTGGACTTGGTGCCAGCTCATTCAGGCTCGCTCTCTCATCTCTCTCTCTCTCCCCTCTCTCGCTGTCTCTCTCTCTTCCGGAATTTTGAATCAAATTCAGGCTAGAGAGGGTGGGATCGAAAGAGAGAGAGCGACATCCGGAGAGGGATAGAGAGAGAACCTGAGTGAGAGAGCGAGAGAGATGTGAGAGTGACATAGAGAGAGAAACCAAGAGAAAGAGGAGAGGGAGAGAAATAGCAATAAAGTTACTAAAAACCGGCTTTTCGATTTTAAAGGGACGATGACGGGCCAGGAATGCAAATCGAAATCATTTCTAAATTGTCCCCCGCCCAAACGGCAGTTTTCATTAACAAAAACACTGGTCTGTTGTTCTGTTTCTCTCTCTCTCGCTCTCTCTCTCTCTCTCTCTCTCTGTCTCTTGCGCCATTCTATTTTTCGACTAGGGGGTCGCTTCCGGACGGCAACATAACAACAAAATGAGTAATTTGCCGGAGCCATTTTCATTAGGGGGGAAAGGCAGACTGACACGGGAATTGAGGGGGCAAAGCAAACGAATTCAATTCGCAGCAAGCAAGTGCTGAATCAGGGAAAATACAGGAAAAATTGGCGGCGCTAGATGGCAGGCTAACAGCGGTTTTTGGGGAATTCCGCAGTCAAAATGCCTAAAAAATGAAAAATTAATCTAATTTGCATGCGAAGGTATGTAAAAAAGCTAGAAAAATTCAAGAAAATTGGGCGAAGATTGCCACGGTTTTAGAATCGGATTGGCAAGATAGCGGGGTTTATTGGGGAATTCCGCAGCCAAAAAAAACGTGAAAAATGCAAAATAAACCTAATTAACATAAGCATGTCCTTAGAAAATTAAGAATTCTGAAAATAGGGAAAAATTTTCTACAGTAATCGGAAACCAAACCCCCTATTTTCCGAGTGAAAACTGCAAACTACAAACTCCAAAAACCCCCAAAAACCGACCTCCTCCTCCTTTTCCCTCGCCAAGTCCGCGATGCTCCTCTGAACGGGCCCGCCCGGTTGCTCGGTGACCGCCTTGTTCGCGTCGACGTCGCCCGACTCGATCAGCTCGTGAATCTGAAAGAAAATTAGCGTATTATAAGTTGAAAATAGGTGCGAATACTGGACTTTCTCGACTAAAAAAATTTTTGGCGGTTTTGCCCCTGAGTTAGCTTCTTAATCAATTAAAGTATGGTACTTGAATTGACTCGAATACAACGAAAAATTAATAAGCTGACGCTAAAAATTTTGAGATGCTAATTTCGGCCACGAAAATCGCGAACAATTCCTGAAGGCGGTGTGGATGGGAGGGAAGAGGGGGAGAGTGTGATTCATTCGGGGGAAACAGAAACCAATTGTGAGTGTATGTGTAATGCCGGCGTGCGTAATTTGGCGTGCCCCGGAAAATGGGCCGTCGGAAAATTTGCCTCCAGGTTTAGTAATTTGCAAAAAAAAATAAATTTCTAGGCCTCTCTCGCTCTCTAACGCTCTCCCTCTCTCGCTCATCCTAACTCCCTCTCTCCCTCCCTCCCTCTCTCTCTCTTTCCCACTCACTCACTCACTCACTCTCTTCCTCACTCACTCTCTCTCTCTCTGTCTTTCTATTTCATCTTTCCCGATGTCTCTCGCTTTCTCCTCTCCCTGCTCTCTGCCTCTCTCTTTCCCTCTCTCTCTCTCTCTCTCTCTCTCTCTCTCTCTCTCTCTCTCTCTCTCTCTCTCTCTCTCTCTCTCCCTCATCCCTCTCTCCTCCTCCTCCTCACTCACTCTCACTCACTCTCTTTCTATCTCTCTCTCCTTCCATCTCTCGCTCTATCTCCTCAAAAAAAAAACCTTTGCGAGTCTCGATTGATGAGCCACGGATCGTAAATGGATATCCAGCGTAGCGCCCTGACCGTAGCCTAATTTGCATAAATTGCAGCGGAATGGCTTGCGCTCGAGGGGCGAGAGTTCCGCGGTGAGGGCGTGCATCTGAAAAATAAAAATTGGCGATTCCCTAATGATCTCTGCTAGCTTTCCATTTCCTAAAGAATCTCTGCTAGCCTGCCCTTTCCTAAAGAATCTCTGCTAACCCGCTCCTGTAATACTTACCTGGCTATTCAAGTCGATTCCGCCCTGCTCCAGATGCCGCTTGGCCTTGTGCAGATGCCCGACCGAGTTGTAGTGGGCCAACATTTGCGAGGAATCACTGAACGTCTCCGAACAAAGCTCGCAACCTGGTTTTCTGCAAAAAACGAGTATCAAAGGGTCCGGGAAGGCAAATCCACTGATTTTAAAGGACCGTTAAAGCGCACCTCTCCTCCGCTGGATGCTCCTTGCTCATGTGCTCCAGGAGGGCGTCAACCGTCTCGCCGGCTTCCCCGCAAAATGGGCAGGCATGTTGGCTCTAAACGTGGGGATAGGCCTGGCTAAGGATTGGCTGAAGCTTGGCTTAAGCATGGCTAAGGCATGGGCTTAGGGCTGGGCTTACGCTTAGGATTAGGCTTAGGCTTGGACACGGCGAGAGAGAGAGAGAGAGAGATCGAGAGAAGAGAGAGCAGCAGAGAGAGAGCAACAGAGAGAGAGAGAGAGAGAGAGAGATAGAGAGTGAGAGAGCAACAGAGAGAGAGAGCAACAGAGAGAGAGAGATAGAGAGAGAGAGAAAGAGAGAGAGCAACAGAGAGAGAGAGTGAGAGAGAGAGTGGGAGAGCGAGGGAGAGAGAGAGAGTGAGAGAGAGCGATAGAGAGCAAAATTTCGTACCTTGAAGAGATGGGTGAGCGAGTGCTGCTGAAGGGCGGCTTCAGATTTGAATGCCACCGGGCAGCTGGGACATCGGAAGGCGAACTGCTCGCCGCTGACGCTAAAAAAACACTTAATTGTCATTAAATCGAAATTAAAAATTCCAAAGCGCTAGAAATCAGCGGAAATTAGGGCGTCCTGAGGAAGTCTCTTTGTTTTAGACGCCGGGCCCCAGAGTTCGTGGCGGGACCCCCCGGGCGAAAGACAAAGAGACGGGTAATTTGAGACAGAAAAAGCGGCGGGTAAAGACGAACGCCGCTCGCCGGTTAAAACCAACAAATCTTGGCGAGAGACAGGGCAATAAAAGCAAAAAGTTTATGCTGGATTGAATTATGGGTTTTAGACGTTATGGATTGTGCTTTTTGGGGCTTTTTAAGGGAATAAATGATCTCTGCTAGCCTGCACTTTCCTAAAGATTATATGCTAGCCACCCCTTTCCTAAAGAATCTCTGCTAGCCTGCCATTTCCTAAAGAATCTCTGCTAGCCTGCCATTTCCTAAAGAATCTCTGCTAGCCTGCCCTTTCCTAAGGAATCTCTGCTAGGTTGCCCGCCCTTAAACTAAAAGAGAACTCACGGTTGAATATCAGCCTTGTGAACGGCTAGAAGACGCTCCACTGCCGACTCGGCGATTTTGTGCTCCTGAAAAACATAAAAATATAGCTAGAAAACCCTGAAGAAAAAAATGATTTCAGAAATGCCAAAATCCGCGAAGATTCGGCGAATTAATTTGGCTAATATTGGCAGCGCGTAGCCCTAGGAAACGTCAAAAATTGCCGGGCGCGGTTTTTCGTGATTTGTAGCGCTGCGGCAAGCACGATTTATAGCATTTATAAATTATTTATAGCCTCAAAAACGTGTTTATTAAAATATTAGAACACAGAAAATAATACAATCGTATTAATTAGCACTGAATTATAAAAATTTACCTGAATTAAATGGGTGTTCAGCACGGCGGGGCGCTCGGTGCAGAGTGGGCACAACTCGCCGAGCTCGTGGGTGTTTGAGTGCTCCTCCAGCTCGGCTTCGGTTCCTGAAAATTTCGAGGATGAGGCAGGCTAGCAGAGATTCTTTAGGAAAAGCAGGCTAGCACAGGTTCTTTAGGAAAGGCAGGCTAGCAGACATCCTTTAGGAAACGAGCAGGCAAGCGGAAATACTTGAGGAAGAGCGTGAAACGGCATTTTAAGGTCGTGAATTTCGAGCAGTGAGCATGAGCTAAAGCCAGGGAGAGCACGAGGAAGTTTTGGCCCAGGTTTTGTAAAAAATCTCTGCTAGCCTCCCTAACACGTCTCTGCAAAACGCCTCTCCAACCCAAATTTTCCACATTTCACTCCCCCAAAAACCCCACATAATTAGCATATGGGTATCGCACGAGGCCCCGATCCTTTGATGCCCTGCCCCACGGCACCAAATGGCCAATTCATTTGCCCAGGCCCTCGGAAAAACGGCCGCGAAACGATCGGCCCGCGGGGGGCCGATCGTCGGGTCGGGCTTGTGCAGGTGGGAGTTCTCACCTAATAAATTCATTATGGGCCGTAAAAAAGGGGGCCCGCGAGCCGATGCTCTCTATCTCTCTCGCTCTCTCTCCCTCGCTCTCTCTCGCTCGCTCTCTCTCTCGCCACCCGCAGACAACAAACCAGCTCCGAACGATTGATGGTCACGAATCGCGAACGGTTTTCTGCGGGTAGGCTAGCAGAGATTCTTTAGGAAAGGGCAGGCTAGCAGTGATTCTTTAGGAAAGGGCAGGCTAGCAGAGATTCTTCAGGAAAGGGCAGCCTAGCAGAGATTCTTTAGGAAAGGGCAAGCTAGCAGAATGGAATGAGTGCCTTCAAACGTCTTCAAAGCCCCCCCTGCCGCCCCATTTAAATGCCTAATTAGGTGATAAGCGCCGGCTGGCAGTGTGGAAGTGTCAATTGGAAAATTGGGGATAGTGAAGCGGACATTTCGGGGCGTGAAATTATGGGTTTTTACTTTTTGGGGCTGATTTCCTTGGGGGTGTTGTGTTTTGGAGCAGGTTAGGCTTAGGCTTGGCTTAGGCTTGGCTTAGGCTTTGGCTTAGGCTTAGGCTTAGGCTTAGGCTTGGCTTAGGCTTAGGCTTGGCTTAGGCTTAGGCTTGGCTTAGGCTTGGGCTTGGGCTTTAAAAAAACATACGAGCCGTGAAGGGGCAGGCTCCACACGCGTACGCTTGCTCCTCGTCCATCGTCAGCGCATCGGGACCTGGAAACATTGGGATGAAAAATGTGACATAAATTTTAAGAAAGTCAAATTTAGATTTTCGAGAAATTACGGCAGCGACCTGGATGAAGGCAGGCTAGCAAAGAGCATTTAGGAAGGGCCAGAGGGTTTAAGGTATTGGGCTGGCTAGCAGAGATTCTTTAGGAAAGGGCAGGCTAGCAGTGATCATTTCCCCATCCAAATTGACTAACGCTACCGTATCCCCCTCCAAAATGGCCCAAATTCTGGCAGGGATGGCCACCAATGGGGAGGGCCAAAATGGGGGCCCGTTTAGGGGCCCAATTTGGGCCCCAGAAGACCGCTCCGGGACGCGAGTCGGCCAATTTCTGGCTTCTTTTGCCGGGGCCCGGGCTGGATGCTCCTCATTTCGTGGCCCAAACTCCTCTGACTGACGCTGATTTGGTGGGCGGATAACGAGGCGAGGGGGCCAGGGCCCTTAGGGCCACTGGGCCCTAAGGCCTTAGGGCCCGGACCAATTCGCGGCTGCAAGCCAAATTCCGATCGGGGGAAGGAGAAGAAGAAGACATGCCCAATTTGTTGGGGAAATGGTTTTTAGTCGCGGCTGGAGGCCGGAAGTAGGTTTAAAGGGAGTGTGACAGGAGTTAGAGAGAAACAGAGAACGAGAGAGAGAGGAGTGAGAGAGATAAATCGAATAGCTGATTTTCTAGACCTATTAAAAGATTTCGTCCCATTCCCCCTAATTCCAGCTGCTACCGTATCCCCCGATTCCAATGAAAATTGAGAGAGCTAGAGCTAATGAAAAATGGAGAGAGAGAGAGAGAGAGCGAGAATGCGAGAGAAAGAGAGAGAAAGAGAGAGGGTGAGAGAGGGTGAGAGAGAAAGAGAGAGAGAGACAGCGAGAGAAACCCGCGCCGGGCGCGCCGCGCTGATTCGACGAAATTAATGGGATCGTCCCGGGCGGCGCGCCGGCAGTGAAAAAGGGGCGGGGCCAAAAAATGGATCGCAAAATAGCCGCCGCCTTTTCATTGGGCGATTTCTGATGAATTTTGAGTGTATAGAAATCGATCCGGCTGCCGGGATCAGAGGGTTTTTGTCTTGAAAATTGGAAAGTGCGAAATCACGCTTCGTTTTAGGCCCGAAAGCTTATTTTGTTGTGAAATATGCAAATTTGGGGCTTTGGCTATTTTGTAAAAAAATGAGAAAAGTATCTAAAAAATTTCTGAATGCAAATTAGGGTCAATTACGGTTGTTTAGACAACCTGAAAATGTCTACAAATCCCTTAAAAATATATCGATATGCAAAGTAAGTCTGGTTAATACTTATTTATCTGATTAGCATATTTTCAAAGTGCTAAGAAACTATTTATGATATTTATATGCAAATTAAACGCAGTTTGTAAGGATAAAATCCTTTTGGAGCCTTAGAAAATTCCTAAAAAATACCTAGATGCAAATTAGGCTTGATTTCGGCATTTGCATACCACTAAAACCACAAAATTAAGTGAAAAAATATCGATTTGCAAATTAGGGTAAATTTATAACGTTAGAATACCCTTAAAAGCGTCAGAAAATTACGAGACATATCTAGATGCAAATTGCTGGCCGACAAGCCCCAGATTTCGGCTCCAAAATGAGTAAGAGGTGCCCTGGTGCCGGGTACCCGCGCCGCGATTTGGAGCGTGACGGAGCCCCCGGCCGCGGATCGCGCTAAAGGACCGTTGAAGTGAGGAGGGTGGAGACAGGGCGGGTGTAAAAGAGGAGCCGATGGGAACCCGGGCAAAGTTGCTGCTCAACACCCACAAAACCACACCCCCTGTCCGATCCCATTCAGCCCAATCTCCTCCCATTCATTGCCCGCGATGAGACTGATCGGATTTGGCGACGCTGCGCGCCACAAAATCCGGAACTGGTTGACGGGGAATTTGCATCTATCGATTGGGCAGGCTGCCAGAGATTCTTTAGGAAAGGGCAGGCTAGCCGAGATCATTTGAGAAACGTCTCTTCTTTCGCGCGAAGGGCCAGCCAGCAACACACTTGAGGATTTTGGAGCTCGATCTGGAGCTCATCGAAAACTCGCAGAGACTATTTGGGGAAAAGCGATTAATTCAGGGGGAAGGGCAAGCGAGGAAATACCATTGAGGAGATGCAAATCATCGATGAGCCGGAGGTAACAAAATTTGATGCAGCGGTGGGCAAGCTTGCAGCGATTCTTTGGGAAATCAAGGGAAGCCTCCTCTTGCTCAATCGGTTGAGCAACCGGGCAGGATTAGGCTTAGGCTGAAGCCAGGGCGGGGCAGGCTTAGGCTTAGGCTTTGGCTTAGGCTTAGTTGGGCTTAGGTTGGTGGCTTAGGCTTAGGCTTGGCATGGGCTAGGAGGTGAGGCTTGAAGCTTGGGCTTAGTCTTAGGCTAGGCTTAAGCTTAGGCTTAGGCCTAGGCTTGGGCTTCGGCAGAGATCTTTTTGGGATTGCGAAGAAGCCGGACCCGATAAAGCCCAAAAGAAATCGCTCTATTTTCCCAGCCACTCTCCCCCTCCCCCTAATCATTGCAAACCGAATACAAATTTCCCATCCCAGCCCCACCACCAGCCAGGGCCGCTTCCCAAATTGACAAAAAATGAAAAATTCAATTTCCCCCAGGCTTTCGTCGTCGCGCCGGGACCACTCACGCACAAACGGGAGGCCGCCCCGCCTGCCCAGATCACTAAATAGCATTCCTTTTTTGGGGCGGGGGTGTTTAAAGGAGCGCCGTGCAGCCGCGACGCTGCATCACCAAAAATAATAGATTCGCAATTCCATTCGGCGGCTTATGACAGCGGGCCGGGAGGGTTTCTTGGTTTCCTCTTCTCTCGCCTTCTCTCTGTTGCTCTCTCTCTGTGATCAGCTTCCCTGCGGGCCCCCGAAAATGGGCAATTCGAATTCACTCTTCGCACCTATCATCGGGGCAGGGGCCGCATTTTATGAAAATTAAGGCCCCGACGCGAGGGGGGGCTGCATGTTTTTATCGATTTTTGGTGGCTAGGATTGGGCCACATTTAGGATGAGCGAGATGGGAATCCGGAGAAAATGCTACATTCCGCTAGCCTGCCCCTCCTAAAGAACCTCCTGCTTGCTTGCCCATTCGTTTCCCAAATTTCTCTGCCAGCCTGCCCAATTTGAAAATGAAAAATGCATCCCTTCATGCGCCCTCGACAGTGAAGATAATTAGGCTCGGCAAAAAGTCCTTGAAATCCCGGAATGAACTATATACGTTCGGCCTGGTGGCCTGGGAGAGGGCAAGAATGTGAGGATTGGGCAAAAAATGCCGAAAAAAGTATGGTAATTAGGGAAGAGGCCGAAGTCAAGGTCGACTTAAGGAAAATGAAAATTGCATCCAGAGAAAATCCATAAAAATCAAAATCAACGTCCAAAAAGACATAAGCAAAAACTTAATTCAACAAATCAGCTCCTCAAAAAATTACTAGATTAATTCCCAGCCAGTTTTTGGGAATTACAGGCGAGTGAAAATGGGCGTGGAAGGGATTCAGTTGAGGGGTACCTGGCCAATTACCGTGTCTCCACCTCACCGCCCGACAATTCGGATGCCCGCCACCGGGTCAAAAGAGGAAGGGAATGGAATCGGCAGTGATCTGTAATAAACAATTTCCCCCTTCGTCCTGCTCTCCGGCTAGCCAACCAACCAACCGATCCTCCCTACCCGACAGAGCAAATTCCGTCGGACTAATGGGCGGTGATTCCTTTACTTAATTTAATTGTAACTTTCAGTTCCGAATCTTTCATATCTGCCCTGTCGATAAAGCATCGAAACGATAAAATCCCGATTCAAAAATTCTTCAAAATATCTGCTATTAGAGCACAATTACTATTAGAGCTCAAAACTTGCATAAGCCTAGTTGTCTCGAAAATTCCACAAATGCTCTCAGCCAGCTTGCCCCGAGTTCTCGAAATTCAAATAGAAACAAAAAACTGTCGAGACTCGAAAGTTTCCTAAAAAATCACTGCTACTTCCCATCCAGAAATTCCACCAAAATGATCTCGGCTAGACTGCCCCTCATCTGAAAAGTCTCAAAGGATCACTGCCACCTCGCCTAGCTACCAAATGTTGAGAGAGCAGCAAAACATCGCTAATCGACGAGAGAGCGATACAAAGGGCGAGAGAGCGTGATAGAGAGAGAGAGAGAAAGCGAGGGGAAAGCGAAAGCCCAAATGCTCTCTGCCTAGCTTGCCCAAACCTCGAAAAAACTCCAGAAAAACGGTTTTACAGTTTACAGGCGAGTCCGATCCATTTGCGGCCAGGGGTCAGCTCATCAATTCCGATTGGTTGGTGAAGAGAGAGAGAGAGAGAGAGAGAGAGAGAGAGAGAGAGAGAGAGATACAGATTAACAGTCCGCAGCCCCTTCTCCCCGGTCCACAATTACCAGCGCTGCATCTTGGCTGCGGGGAGCTCGGGGTGGAGGGAAATGAGGGCCGAGAGAGTGCGGGAATTGGAGAGCGGCGAGAGACAGAGAGCACATAGAACCGGCCCCCTTATGCCAATAATAACGAGCCGAGGCCCCGCGCCTGGCCGATACAGCCCCTCAAAATTGACGCCAATTTCCGAAATTGCCTCGGAAAGTTGCTCATCAAAAGAAGTGATTGATTTGGGGCTAGACTTAGGCTTAGGCTTAGGCGGCTTAGCTTAGCTTAGGGCTTAGGCTTAGGCGGTAGCCAGGCTTAGGCTTAGGCTTAGCAGCTTGGAGGCGGCTTAGGCTTTAGCCTCCAGGCTTAGGCTTAGGCTTAGGCTTAGGCTTGAGAACTTAGGCTTGCGGGACCTGAAACTTCCCAGTCCCTTTAATGCGTCCCAAGAATCGTTCATTACCACCGGTGATCGCACCGTAATGAGGTGTAATCTTGTAGTGTTGGGTAGTGTGTCCTGTGTGGTGCCGTGGTGCTCCTCTTTTCAATCCTGTATGCCCTTCCCACCCATCATCCCTCATCCTCCTTTCTCTTGCTCCCTCTTCCCTCGTCC